CGTAAGAGGCGACTAATGGGATCAGGTGGTCAGGCTCACTGATTGGTTGACACATGTCATCGGTTCCCAATTGCACAGATCGATGCTCATGCTGTTGATCACTGGCTTGTCTGGTCCAGACTCGATTATTTACAGACCGCTGCCATATAGCTGGAATATTGCTGAGTGCGGCGTTAAACTAAACTCACTCACTCACTCACTGAAACAAATATATCCAAGGAAGCCCTTGCAAGTCTAGAACAGAGGCCCAGATAAGCTGCGTATCCGGGTAAAATACGCATAGAAAATTCCCATGTATGCATTGAAAAATAATTGTTGCGTACCAATTCCGCATTTAAAATGTTAGATACGCAAAAAGTTTAAAACAAATGTGTACGGAATATATTGATAAAAATCGCTTGCATAATGAAAATGACATTGATTGCTATCAAGTTGTACTGTTAGTATAGGGCAAGTGTTGTACTGTCAGTATAGTATGAGTGATTTCCATTATATTTAAGTTGGTTTTGATTAGGTATGACATAAGGCAGAACATACCTGCTTAGAAAACTTACTCAATGACATAATACTTAGGTGAGTAAAATGACCGATAAAACGCACATATTTGAAAGCAGTGGGTAACATAAATTGAAATACCCACTCAACGTTCATAATACCCACTCCAAAACAATACAGTGGGTACAGTACCCACATGAGCTAAATCTTATCTGGAGCTCTGTAGAATATGTGACAAGTCTAGATTTCCACAGTTTCAGAAAATGAAGTAAGTCTCCCCTGGGCTCCATTTCATTACATTTCATGATTATTTTGTTATGTACATTAATTCTGTAAAATATGTTCATTTCAGAGATAAGAGTTAGTCGTCACCAAGGTTACATTACACCAATTCAGAATCTGTATTTCAACAAGCACTTTTCGTAGGGAGCCTTCAGTGCAGACTGAGTTATCTAACAGCTGTGATTGGATGATTTTGTGTACAAGTTTGTGATTTTTAAATGTACATCCATCCAGTAATTAAAACTGGCCATATTTTGTAATATTTAATGCTGTCTTTTTTAACATGATGACATATACTGAATGTGACCACAGGTGTTTGACATTGTTTAGAACTGTTTAGCTTCCTGTACATGGAAAAGCAGCTAGCTTGATGGTCATACTGGACCACTGGACAAAGTGCTGTGACTATGTGTCCCAGTCCACCCAGCTGTGAATGGGTACCTCGTTAGGATGAGAAAGCCACAATAACTCGGTCGCCTAATGGCAGTCCCAAAGGAGTTGAGATTGATAACACGATGTGCAGTTGCTATTGACATCCAACCGTGGAAAAATACCAGCTGAGCATGAATGGGATATGTGCCTATATAAATATCCTATAATAAAAATAATATTGCTTTTTAAGACAGACTACATACACATATACATGGAATAGCTGTTGATATAATAGTTAATTTAAAAATAAATACTGTAAACGCATTCTTATTTTGGCAAGCGGAATTGACAGTTGACTACATATGTCAATTATTCGCCAATCAGGAGCCGGAACTGCCATTGCCACTAATAGCAGTGAAAACAAACAGAGATAGTGTCAGTTGCATTTATTATTGACATGTATGCCAACTAGTACACAGTAACCCGCTTACTCCCGGAAGAGGAAAAACACATCAGTATTATGTTCCGAATTCTGACGATCTGACTAATTAACTTATACTGTATATGAAGCTCTTTGTGATTTCAAACAAGCCGGGTTGTTGTGAATGAGATGATTGAGTGTTAGTGACTATTGGATCATGATGATACGCTTGTATCTAAATGAATAAATAAAATACTGCTGTATATTTCTTTCCGAAGTCTTTTTCGTGGTAATCTGTTTTTATCAAACCATCTGTCATGTGACCAATTTCCATGGCGGCCACAACACACATTGCTGTTTCGCTAACCAAGTGATGGGATTTGGCTCATTATTTAATTATGTTTTGGGAAATCCATTACAGCGACAGTTAAGTATGATCAGTCGTCATTTTAAGATTCCCGTAGATTTCTGTCTTCAAACTTGATGTGTTATGGTAACAACTCAAAGCGTGGCTAGACTGAATGAATGACAGGTTTACTGGGTGTATAGCTAAACGCCAATGCGAAAAAGCGCAAAAATAAAACCTGCGCGAAATATACAACGTTTACAGTATAACATTACTATAGACGTCAATGGAAAAGTATTTGGCTTTGTGTAACCTAAAGGAAAGGAGTGAGTAATGAGTTTAGTTTTACGCCACACTCAGCAATATTCCAGCTATATGGCAGCAGTCTGTAAATTATCGAGTCTGGACCAGACAATCCAGTGATCAAACAGCAGGAGCATCGATCTGTGCAATTGGGAACCGATGACATGTGTCAACCAAGCCAGTGAGCCTGACCACCTGATCCCGTTAGTCGCCTCATAGGACAAGCATGGGTTACTGATGATCAATTCTAACCTGGATCTTCATGGGTGTAACCTAAAGGAAGTACAATTTATTGATGTCAGCTTCTGCATTATAAGGTGAGGTGAGATGAAATTGGGTTTAACGTCGTGCTTGAGAATATTTCGCTCATATGACGACGTGCATGCATGTGTATGTGTATGTGCGGCTGCTTGTACTAGTTTTATAGTGCTAGCCCACTGAGATACCATGCTGCAGTGAAGCATGAATACCCCACTCAGACACATTATACTGACTCCCGAGCCGACCAGTCCTTGTTGTACCCATTAATGCCGAGCGCCAGGCAGGGACCAACAAGTACCATATTTTAACGTCTTTTGGTATGACGCGGTCGGGGATCGAACCCACAACCTTCGTCTCTCCGGGCGGACGCTCTAACCACTACACCACGGAGGCGGTCGCATTAAAAGGACTACAGCAGAGCTACAGATAACTTTTTGGGTCATCAAGTTATGAACTCGCTTGTGTTAATCTCAGTTGGGTATCCTAATTTTCCTTTGAGTAACCAAATAAATTGTACCCACCTCACTCAAACTCAGCTAGGTATTTTGCCATTTTCCATTAATTGTGAAAATATAATAAAGTTTAAATGTTATTTATATTGGATCTGTAATATGAGAAACTATAAGAAAGACTGCAAGTTGTCAAGTTCATGTGTTGAAATAGAATATACCTCAGTTGTTTTATCTATGCACCGGTACGCAAGCTATGATTGGACGCTTTTGTGTGTACGCATGTAAGATCAAATTTATTGAGTATTTACAAAAAGTCAAGCCCACTTGTATGCAATAGACATCATAAGAACTGAGTTTTCAGATAAATATTTGCGTAGTTTACGCAGAAACGCAGCTGTATCTCAGCTACAGCCTTTTGTAGTTATTCTTAATCATTCATCAGCTTGACTCTGCCAACTTGTATCATTATACAAATGAATTCCTTGTTGAGGCAGCTCTACAGGATGCCATGTTAAAGTCACACTGATAACGACCCATGGTCATCACGTACAAAGGGCCAGTGTCAGGCAATAAAGGCTGTAATGAAGACACACCTCATTGACTCCTCAGAATCAAATCAACAAAGGACTCAGTTTGCACAGATGGAGCTGCAAACAATATATGATCTTGCCACTGTTCATCCACAAGTGTAAGTACACCTTCACTGAATCTTTTCATGTGGAGTTGTTAATGAGTAGGTGGGTGGGTGAGTGAGTGAGTGGGTGGGGGCAAACAATATATGATCTTGCCACTGTTCATCCACAAGTGTGAGTAAACCTTCACTGAATCTTTTTCTGTAGAATTGGTAATGAGTGGGTGAGTGAGTGAGTGAGTGAGTGAGTGAGTGAGTGAGTGAGTGAGTGAGTGAGTGAGTGAGTGAGTGAGTGAGTGAGTGAGTGAGTGAGCGAGTGAGCGAGTGGGCGAGTGAGTGAGTCGGTGAGTGAGTGAGTGAGTGAGTGAGTTTAGTTTAATGCCGCTTTTAGCAATATTCAAGCAATATCATGGCAGGGTACACCAGAATTGGGCTTCACACATTGTACCCATTTGGGGAATCGAACCCAGGTCTTCATGGTGACAAGTGAATGCATTAACCACTAGGCTACCCCACCGCCCCCAGCACTCAGACATATGCTGTGAAAATACTGCTGTTTGTTTCCAATTAATCCAGCAAAATTCTGATTTGTTTAGCTAATAATGACACTTAAATGTCAAGACAAAGATGTGAAGAGAAATGCTCAGGCCAGCTGACTCAAGGTTTTGGCACAGACTGTTCAGTTCAATCATATATTGAGTTTCTACAAATGTAACTTGTTGTCATGAAGAAAGACACCTATGTTTGTGTTGAGATTGGATTATTTGTCAATTGCACAACAAAAACAGATATATTTTTAATTAAAACCATAAGTCCTTTTTCATGAAAAAACATGTTCAAACAATGTATTTTTGGTGCAGGTGTGATCAGACTGAAGCATTATATGCTTCCAAGAACTTTCTGTAACAGAATGTCTCTTATTTAATAAAATCCCTGCCACAACCCCTTCAACGTCTACTGACACATACACTGGTGATCATAATATCGACCAATGGTTTGTCTGGTCCAGACTGGGCGGTGGGGCAGCCTAGTGGTTAAAGCGTTGGCTCGTCACGCCATAAACCCGGGTTCAAATCCCCACATGGGTACATTGTGTGAAGCCCATTTCTGGTGTTCCCCCGCCGTGATGTAGCTGGAATATTGCTAAAAGCGGCATAAAACAGCAATTCAGTCAGTCAGTCAGTCTGGTCCAGACTTAATTATGTAGCCGGAGTATTGGAGAGTACAAGGTAAAACAAATAAGGAATTTGAGTTAAAACACCTGAGGTCTGACACCACTTATAGCAATATTCCAGCAATATCATGGCAGGGAACACCAGAACACATTGTACTCATGAGGGCAATCGAACTGGGTCTTCCTCGTGACACGCGAACACTATAACTACCAGGCTTTCAGACTGCCCCTCCCTGAATAGAAACCCACTAGCTATCACTGACCTGTTTGGCGTAGAGGCTTCTTGGGTTTGGGTTTGCCTTGGAAGCCTGACGCTTCTCCTCCATCTTCATTCTGTAAGTAAAAAATAATATCATGGAAGTCACGGTTTCATAGTTTGAAATACATAATTTGTAAAATAGTGTGAGGATTGTGGGTAGGATAATCACACATGTATGTTACACAATGTTCTGCAGTCAGATTGATTTGGTTCATGCAAGCCCGCACGGGTCCAGTTGGTTTGTTTGTTTGTTTGTTTAACGCCGCACCCGGCAATATTCCAGCTATATGGCAGCGATCTGTAAATAATCGAGACTGGACCAGACAATCCAATGATCAACAGCATGAGCATCGACCTATACAACTGGGATACAATGACATGTGTCAACCAAGTCAGTGAGTCTGACCACCCGACCCCTCTTACGACCAGCATGGGGTGCTGAAGACCAGTTCTGCCCTGGATCGTCACAGGTTTTTATAGGTCTAGAACATACCAATAACCCTAAGTGTCTTAATTGACTTTATTAAGCGATTTTATTTGAACTGTGCTTCTCTCGAGCTACTGGTTAAAATATGAACCCGGTAGGATCCGAGGATCATGGTAATGTGACTGTTAACCTTCTTGTACCTGATGAGACATGTTATGATGTATTCTCCCCAAGGAGCTGAGAGTGAGTGAGTGAGTCAGTGAGTGAGTTTAGTTTTAATCATCAAACAAAAGTAAGTCTTTTTTTCTTGACAGATGTCACAATTCAGCAATATTCAAAGTTAAACATCGATGTATCGTGGCCCATTTGACGTATCGTATCGGGATATAAGACAATATAAAACTTTGTATCGATTCACTGTATCGACGGGCCATGGACTTATGCATCGATGCGTATCAATAAATCGTCACACCACTAGTAAATAACCCAATCTGGACCAGACAATCCAGTGAACAATAGCATGAGCATTGATCTAGAAACTGGGATACGATGACATGTGTCAACCAAGTCAGGGAGCCTGACCACCTGATCCCAAGTTCTTTACTTTACATTTAGAGAGATACTCATTACATACAGAAATTATGAGCGGCTCTCCTTATCAATGTTTAAGGGCTCATAATGACATTGCTTGTTATTACTGACAGACACATGAGAGACCTTCCTTATCATTACTGAATAGACACATGAGAGACCCTCTTCATCATTACTTACACATTATGAGAGACTCCTTACCATTACCTTGATTGACACTCCTTATCATTACCAACAGACCACATTATGAGAGAGAGACACACAGCTTACCATTACCTACAGGCACATTATACCTACAGGAGAGAGACTCTTTACCATTACCTTGACAGACACTCCTTATCATTACCAACAGACCCATTACGAGACACACAGCTTACCATTACCTACAGGCACATTATGAGAGAGACTCTTTACCATTACCTTGACAGACACTCCTTATCATTACCAACAGACCCATTACGAGACACACAGCTTACCATTACCTACAGGCACATTATGAGAGAGACTCTTTACCATTACCTTGACAGACACTCCTTATCATTACCAACAGACCCATTACCATACCAACAGACACATTACGAGACACACAGCTTACCATTACCTACAGGCACATTATGAGAGAGACTCTTTACCATTACCTTGACAGACACTCCTTATCATTACCAACAGACCCATTACGAGACACACAGCTTACCATTACCTACAGGCACATTATGAGAGAGACTCTTTACCATTACCTTGACAGACACTCCTTATCATTACCAACAGACCACTTATTACGAGACACACAGCTTACCATTACCTACAGGCACATTATGAGAGAGACTCTTTACCATTACCTTGAGAGACACTTTATCATTTCCTACAGACCCATTACAGACCACACGAGAGACACACAGCTTACCATTACCAGGCACATTACAGGCTTTACATTACCTTGAGAGAGACTCTTTACCATTACCTTGACAGACACACAGCTTATCATTTACCTACAGGCACATTATGAGAGAGACTCTTTACCATTACCTTGACAGACACTTTATCATTACCAGCAGACTCCATTACAAGACAACAGACCACACTGAGAGACTCCTTACCATTACCTACAAACACATTATTTGGGAGACTCCATACCATTACTTGTGGACACATTATGAGGGAGACTCTTTACCATTACTTCCAGACACATTCTGATAGAGAAACTCCTTACCATTACTTTGAGAGACATCTTATCATCACCTACAAACAAATTATGCAAGGCACTCCTTATCATTACTTACTGAAATAATCATGTTTAAATACACCCAAAATTTGGTCACGATTATTTGCAGTCCAGTTCTAGCGAAAGTGAGTGAGTATGGTTTTACAATCGCTTTTAGCAATATTCCAGCAATATCATGGTAGGGACACCAGAAATGGATTCACACATTGTACCCATGTGGGGATTCGGCATGACGAGCGGACGCTTTAACCACCAGGTAACCCCACCGCCCCCAGTCCAGTTCTACAGCAAGACACCACACTGACCACTCCTCAGCGATCAGGATGTATTCCGCACAGGACCTGATTATTTAAACAGCTATCTGTCACCGCTCGGAAATGATTGAAACTGATCAGCTAACCGTTATCCGCAGACCTGTCAGGCCTCTAGGCTTTGCCTACCATCAGTGAAATGGACGCGAAATGAGCGAGTTATGAAAAGCGAATCACTTTCATGACAAGGTCTAATCACGGTTCTTGGGGCATTATCGTCAGAAATTGATGAAGGGGCCTTATGAAATCTACACCCATGTTAATAGCATGTAAATGCTTTAATCTGCTAATTAATTGCTGCAGGTTATGAGGAAGTCATTTCCCCGTGTTGAGTTTTATGTGCTCAGAACAGGCTGTCGTTTTTACAATCAGATGAAGTTACGCATCTGACGTCAACCCTGTTTTTTTCTTCATATTCGTCTCAAGAGGTTCATCGTCCAATTTGTCAAACAGATGATTAGGAAAGTTGTTGGCTTGGTTCACTCGGTATTAGCTTAAGTTTTATATCAGGGAGAAGGGAGATGGAGTGAAGTATTCGACACCTAAGAACTGGAATTAGTACTAATATTGAAAATGACCTGAATTTAGGATCACGGACCGTGGGGAATCCCTGACTGTATTCAAATTGCTTCCGTTGATCCGAGTCTGACGAGTTCAGGAGTATTATACTACAGCCACACCTAATCTTACACTGTGTTGTAGGACGTACATTTATCATTTCACTATGATTCATCTGTGACATAAGCCTAAGACAAAAAAAACCATATGGCATACACCTTTGACATATGGGACCGCTCATAAGTTATGGCTAGGAGATAGGGGGTGGGGTCATAAATTGTGTACATAAAAATATTTTAAAATTATGCTTAAAAATTATGGGAAGGTGGAGGGGGGACCATTGATTTTGTACATGACATGCAGGTGGGTTCACTTAATTTGTACATAAATTTTAGGGGGGGGGGGTCATTCACATTGTACATGCTTCTCCATAAAAATCATAATGTCTCACACACACACACACACACACACACTTACAGAAAGAGAGAGAGAGAGAGAGACACACACACACAGAGGCATAAAATTATGTACGGTCCCTAAGTAATGGGATGGTGGGCTAGCCTAGTGGTTAAGGTGTTCGCTTGTCAAGTCAAACACCCGGGTTCAATTCCCTACATGGGTACAATGTGTGAAACCCATGTCTGGTGTTCCCTGCCATGATATTGCTGGAGTATTGCTAAAAGTGGCGTAAAACCACTACTCACTCACTCACTCATTCTTTGAAAGCGACTGACACTGGTTGTAGTTTAGTTGACCAAATGACCCTAATTGTTTGTCTCTGTGCTATGCTTAAATGCTTGATTGCATGTCGTTGTATTCAAGTGTGAGTTGATTCTTGTGATGTTAATCACTGGACATGCATTCTTGGTGGCATGATGTCTACAGACATATCTACAGGCTGGAATATCGTATTGCAAAAAGCTGAGTAAAAACTAAACTCAATCTTGCACACTCACTCACAGAAGTATGCAAATTCAATATGCAAATGAGTGGAAGTGAGACTTTTTTCTGAGCATGGTTTCATTCGAAAGCTAAATATCAGTCAAACTATACCAGAGATATAGCCAGAATCTTTGTTCTAAAACATTCAATTATTTATCAAAATTGACGATTCAAGTATATCTTCAAACAATCTAAATAACCTTTTCTCAGAAAAGGAATGTGCAGGGTTGGAAACACGTCCGAGTCCAGTGTTTTTTTCTGTCGGGCAAGCAAATTTGTATATCACACTGTACCAGTGTCCATGTTGACTTTCCAATGTTAATTATGTTGTTTATTTAAAAATTCAACAAGAAAACGGACGGTATAGTGGAAAAATTATCAGGGCAAGTGATATTACATGTGCCACTGTACCAGAGTACACAAGGAATTATAAAGTTATTTCCACCCTTGATGTGCCAACAAGGAGTTAGCTGATCATGTTTATTTTGCTTCACACAGCAACTGAACATTTAACTACTCCAAAAATTTGGATGCATTTATGCCTTAGAAGGGAAACAGTATGTGAAAATGATAAATAGAATTTATAATACTGATTACAGTAACTAGGAATCTGTTGATATTTCCTACATAAAAACATGCATGGAAACAGCATCCTTCATGTATCTAAAGTGTATTTCATTGGAAGCAGAAGAATATCTGCATTTATGCAGTGAACTATTTCAAAATTAACATATCGTTTTTAGTTCCGATAAAATAAGGATGCTGTCATGTCTGGTCAATCACAGGATTGTCTGGTCAATCACAGGATTGCCTGGTCAGTCACAGGATTTGATCGATCTACGCAACTGGGATACGATGACATGTGTCAACCAGCTTCAGCCATTCTGACCACATGATCACATTAGTCGCCTCTTACGACAGGCATGGGTTGCTGAAGACCAATTCTAACCCGGATCTTCACGGGTATGCCAAAAGAGGCGACTAACAGGTACTATACTTGTCTGCTTATTGTGTTAAAGGATG